GAGACGGTCGCCCGGCGCCCCCACCCGCCCTCGGCCCGGACAGCGCCTCCCGGGGGAGCCCACTCTGCACCCCCATCACCCCGCTTCAAGCACTCCTGTCCTCCCCCGGCCTCCATGGCCCGGGGCCTTGGCGGCAGACCTGAGGTTCAGGCCTGACCGAGCTCTTCACTTCCTCTGTGTGACCCCCCCCCCCAGCGACCTCACCGCTCCCGGCCTAAGCTTCCTCATCTGTCAAATGGGACAGTAAGTAATGGTGCAGCCTCCCAGGCCCCAGGATGCTGTGTAGACGGAGCCAGCTACAATGGGCTCAGTCAACAATGGTTAAGCGATAAATGGTGGAACTGTCAGGCATGTGGCCATCTAGAATAATCCCTCCCATTCCTGTCCTGCTGATGGGACACAAATCAAATGCCCTGACTTTGCCACTCGGCAGGACAAAGACCATTCCCCTCCCAAGGGAACCCCCCTCAAACCCCGCCCCAGCACCTCCCAGCATGGCTGGGCCTAGCTCTGCTCATCCCCATCCCCATCCCCGATACCCATCCCGGAGCACCTACTTGGTGCAGAGCTGTTCTCGCTCTGGAGGGGCTTCCGGGCCAGCTGGGACTGTGGGTGGGGGGGGAGACAGACACGCCAGCACTGAGAACCCTCGGTCACCAAGGCCTCCCCAGGAGCAGGGCGCAGGGGAAGGTGGGGAGGCCCCTGGCCCAGAGGAGGGGGCAGCTGCATTGAGTCTTACAGGACCACTTCAAGGGTGGGGAAGTCGTTCCTGGCAGAGGGACCTGCAGGGGCAAAGGCCCAGGGGGAGGGAGGACAGGCAGCAGAGAGGCTGGAGAAGGTCTCGGAGGAAGAAAACGGAAAGCTCTGTTGAAAAGTTTGGGACTTAGACAATGGGGGCATCAGTGGACGATTTTCAGCCTGGGGGGGTTGATCGGAACCGACTGTTTTTACAAGTGCCCTCTGGCTTCGGAGTGGCCAACGGACGGGAGGGGCACGACTGGGAGCAAAAGAGACCGAGAAATACCAAAACAGCAAGTAGAAAATCTAACCGTGGCTAACATTTCTCCCGCACTGGGTTAACCACCACCTTTTATTCTTACACGTCCCCTCATGATAGGAAAAGCTGTATCCCCAGTCTACAGATGGGGACACTGAGGCTCCGAGAGGCCTCTATTTTGGAATGAGACACCCACATCTATGAGAACCGAGGTCCAGCCTGGAGTGGGCTGATCCCCCCCATACACACATCCACTCCAACCTCAGAAAAACTGTGGGGGTCAGGGACTTCCTTTTAAAAAATCAAAAAAGAACGTTGCATTTCCGGCCTGTAAACTCGGGCTGCCGGCGGGGCGGGAGCCTGCGGGCGCGGGTGAAGTTTTTCGGCTCCGCCTAGGGCCCCCCATCCGGGCGCAAACACACTCTGCGAGCGCCCGGCGGCTCCTCCTCCCCCAGATGCGGCCAATCGCTCGGCGCCAGGACGGCCCCCACCTCCCCGCCAGGCCTGGCCGAGGTCCCAGCACCCGGCCCACAGCTGGCGCGGCCGGGCCTGGCGGGGGGCTGGCTCCACCTCCCCGAGCGGCGCCCCCCGCGCCTCGCCCCGCCGCACCACGGTCACCCCATTCATGCTCCAGCCCACGGGGAGGGCGAGGGGCGGGGGCCGAGGAGGAGGGGAGGCTTCCCCGCAAGCAGAAAACAGGTGGCCGGGCGGGAAGTGCTCCCCGACGTCCGCCCCAAAGCCCTCCCGCCGCGGCCACACCCAGCCCTTCCCCGGGGATGAGTAACCCGCTCTCCAGACGGGCCCCGGCGGCCCGGGCATCTCCTAGGGGCCTAGAGACCCAGCCCGGAGCGCCCTGCCCGCGAGCTGGAGGACCCTGCGCGAGGGGACTGGAGGGGGGCAGCGGGGGCAGAGGAGGCCCAGGTCCCATCCCGGCGGCTCCCGGGGCCCCGGGGCGGGGCGCCCCACCTACCCCTCCTGGAGCCCCCGAGAAGCTCCCTACCTGGCGATCCGCTGCGCTCCGCCAGCCGCTCCGCTCCGACTGAGAGCAGGGCCGGGGAGGGGGCGTGGTCCTGGGGCGGGTCCGCCGCGGCCCCGCCCCTGCCCCGCCCCCAGGAGCTCCCAGCCAATGGGGCCGCGGCCCGGAGCCCGGGGAGGCGCGAGCGGGGCGAGCGGGAGGCCCCGGCGGCGCTTTGTGTCCGCGCGCGGGCGGCTGGCGGGAGCGCGGGGCGCACGGCCGGGGGGTGCACGCCCGGGCTGCACCCGCGGTCGCGAAACTCCCCGGAGAAGTGGGGGAGTCCGGTCTCTGCGCCCGTGCGGTCCCTCCGGGCCTCCGCTCCAGAATCCGGATGGGCCCGGGGCGCCTCCGTTTAGCAGAAAGGAAGAGATAAAGGAATAAAAAGGAATGAAGAGAGGCAGGAGGGAAACAGACAAGCAAAGAAAGGAAGGAGGAAAAGGGGAGGGAAGGGAAACCAATAAGAAAATGCAAAGAAAGAAAAAATAAAAAGACCAGGCAACGCTGTTGATTTCGTTCTCTTTCTTGTGTTTTGTTTTGTTCTGTTCTTAAGTGCCACTCCCTCCTCGAGTCCTCCGTCTCTGCAGGTAAATGACAGGACTCTCATTTTACAGGAGAGGAGACTGAGGAACGGAGAGAGAGGCGATCTCCCGCCCCCCTCCTCCGCCCCCCCATCACAGCGAGTCCAGCCCTGAACCGAGGTTCAGGTGGGTATTTGAGGGGCGGGGAAGGGGAAGGTATCCTGTAACTGTGCAGGGACAACTGGGCCCAGGAGTCGGGGTGGCAGTGGGGTCCGTGCCGGAGCCCACCAGCTCTGTCTTCGCGGCTTCTCTCTCTCTTCCTCCCTCTCTCTCCCTTCTCCCCTCCTCCACTCACACACAGAGAGACCATTGAGAACACAGCAAGAAGAGAGCCATCTACAAGCCAGGAAGAGAGTCCTCCACCAGGAACCGAATTGGCGGGCACCTCGGTCTTGGACTTCTCAGCTTCCAAAACTGTGAGAAATAAATTTCTGCTGTGTAAGCCACCCAGTCCAGAGTATTTTGTTATGGCAGTTGGAACAGGCTAAGGCCATCTCTTTTTCTTCCTTCTCTCCCCAAAGCCCATCTCAACTTCTCAACTTCAGTTAGAGGCTCCTAATTGAAGCCTGTCGGAGTTTCACACCCGAATTTGGTGCAGTTCTAGTCTCCCATCATTGGTGTTCTCCATGCCAGGCTCTGTGTTGGGCACTGGGCATCCAGAAATAGAAAGTGCCCACCCCGTTCCCGTCCCAGAGAAGCCACAGCCTCGCGAGGCAGAGATGGATGGGTAACGATAACCAGGATGTCAGGTGGTGGGTGGGCTGGATAAGCCTCCTTGGCCCAGTGAGTGTTCCTCCCTCGGGCCTGGCAGATAAGACGGGTCCCAGGGACGAGTTTTCTCTCTCACATTGCAGCCAGTGACATCAGCCTGCCATCTTGGCCCCATCTGATGGCACTAGCCTAGTGGCCAGACTTGGGCCAACAGCTGATAAGGGGATCTGGCCTAAATTTTCTGCCCAATAAAGACCAATCATCCATCCAGCCACCTGACAAATATTTTGTTGCACATGAGCTCTGTTCCAAGCCATGGACTAAACAAAACTCATGTTGGCCCTGCCCCTCTGGAGTGTTAACACTCTAATAGGGAGGCAGATGTTATGGGCAGATGTACCCATAATCACTCAATGGTATAAAATCCTGCTGTGATGCACAGAAGGGACAGGCCAGGAGAGGCTTCTCCGGAAAGTGCTGATTGACCTGAGATCTGGAAGATCAAGAATTCAACAGACAAAAGAAAGGACATTCCTGAGAGAGGTTAGAACATGTGCAAAGGCCCTGAGGTGGGAAGGAGCCTGGTGGGGCTAGGACAGAGAGAGAGAAAAGGGATGGTGGGGTGAGATGGCAGGAGCCAGAATGGGCTAAATTTACGGGAGCTTCATCTATAAGAGTGATGGCAGCGGGTGAGGGCTTACAGCAGGGATGAAATGGAGACTCCTCCCTCCAAAGTGTAACTGGAGTCCACCCACCTGTCCCCATGTCTTCCCACCGTGGCTCGGGCCTCTGCTGTCACCAGGAGCAGCAGCCTGCTCCCGTCCCCTCTACCTCCCCCAGTATCCATGCCCACGTGCCAATCTTCTGTGCAGCAGCCAGATTGATCTTTCAAAAGCATGAATCCGACCTTTGTTAAAGAAGAAATTACTCATGACGCTTGTTAAAACAGGAAGGCAGAGTTTATTCAGGACGATCGCAATGGAATCCTAGCAAGATTCTTGCTGCAGGCAGGCCAGGGATCAGCGGCCCCCCAGGGGATGGTGGAGCGGGAGGCATTTGGTCAGATATTGTGGGTGATCAGATATGGAGGGCGGGGGATTCTGGCTAAACCAACTAGACAGGAGTCTTGCTAAAACTGGACTCAGCAAGGACGGAGATGGAAGCCCAATTTTGGGCTTAGTTGAGTGGAGGGCTCGGAGCAGCCTGATTAAAGTTTGGTCAAGGAGAGAATCTTTGTCACCATGTCCCTCCCCTGCTCAGTGACTCCTTACGCTCTTTAAATAAAATCCAAATTCTTCTTCTGCCATAACGCTTCAGATTTGATTTAGCCCAATACAAGAAAACTCCAATAAGGAGCTTATGCAAGTTGGAGGTTTACATCTCTGTCAGGAAAAGGAAGACTGGGGTTGGTATGTCCAGGGTTGATGCGGCAGGTCTATAGTCCTCAAGGACTTGAGTGTCTCCTATTTTCTTGCTCCACCATCCTTTAACATTTGGCTTCTAGCCTCAAAGTTGCCTCATAGTCCAAAATGGCTGCTGGAGCTCCAGCCATCATACATCAGCATGTGCATTTAGTGGGGGGAGACAGAAGAGTGTCTTCTCATCCCTCAAGTCTCAGACACCCCTGTCTAGAAGACAACTCTCAGACTTCTCCTCTAAACCTTCTGGTATCTTGTCTGCCAGTTAGTCTTCTGTCTCCCCAGTAGACCATAAGTCTGGGAACACAAAATATCATCCTTTGGGCTCAGCTCATACCTCCCACGCCCAGCCCTGCACGGACTAGAGTCGCCGTAAGTGGTCTTGCATCAGTGACTGCATATGAGTGGATGAAATGACGTGTGCATGAGCCATTTCTCGCAGATCCCGGTTTATTCATCTCCAAGCACAGAAATGCTGACCTGGGGAACCGGAGTGAGTCTCTTCCCTAGTCCTGCCCCAGGCTTCCACTAGGGGCTCCCGCAGGAGATGCCTGAGCCGAGTCTTGACAGAGGTGGGAAGGGCGTTCCAGGCAGGGGATCAGCATAATCGAAGGCCGCCCCTGGTCCTCCCCCGCTCCCAGCTCAGAGATGTGCCGCCGCCCCCAAGGGGGTGTTGGGGAGTGTGGTAGTGCGCGGCGGGTGTGAGAGCGAGGGCCATGGTGCTGGAGGTGCTGGAATGCCGGGCGGCCTCGCTCCGGGAGAAATCACCACATCCGCAGGCTTCCAGCACCGCGCCCCACACACGTGTCCTAGGATTGTCCCCCGTCCCCGCACGTGCGCAGCCTCCCACTGTCCACACCCCGCCGGAGCGGCACAGGTGTCACGGTCAGCGAACCCTCGCCGCCGCCGCAGCATCACCCCCTTCCGCAGGCTGGCCCGCTGCTCCGCGGGGTCCACTCTGGCCGTCCGTTACTTTCCTGCTGCTTCAAGGGTCCCCGTCCCGATGCTCAGGTCGGACAGATATTCTGCGGCGTTTCCTGTTTCCTCTAATTCTTCCAGCGTTTTGAGAAGCCCGTCTACATCTTCTGGAACGCATTTGGTGAGTGGGGTGAGGAGGGCCCCTCTGAGGACAGATGGTGGGGGATCTGGACCCTGCCGCCGTCTGCCTTTGCCTCAGTTCCTTCATCTGTAAGGAGGGGACTGTGTCAGGAAGGCTGTCGTGGGGCGGACGGGACGGAATGTGTGCAGGACTCTTGGGACCCGGCCCGGCACATCGTGAGGATTAGTTGTTATTATTTGCTTTTTAAATCACTTCTTGCTTGAATCTGGGTGTGGCCCTGGTAACAACAGTAGTTACTGAGCTCGGGGCCCTACAATGTGCCAGACACACTTTGCACCATCGTTTGTGTCACATGTGAAGGTCGGCACAGCTTAACTTCCTAAATCCCCATCACGACCTGGGAGAATCATCGTCCCATTCTGCGGATGGGGAAATGAGGCTCAGATCGCACAGCAATAACTGGACAGGCCGGGATTTGAATGTGGCCATGTGACACCCCAAGGTGCCACCTCCCCAGGCCATTTGGACTGAAGTCCCCGCCCCAGGATGTGTCACTCCACCAGGGGTCTCAGAGAGGGGCCTCCCTGGGTGGAGCAGGGCCGGGAACTTGGGCCCTGGGAATGCCTGCTTCCTCTTGCCCCATGCTCTTGGTCTCTGTTGGGCCACTACCTTCTGGACAGTCACCTCCCTGTCCTCGGTCTGCCTCCAGCCACTGCCCCTCTGCCCAGCAGCCCGAGGGGTCTTCTTAGAACATAAATGGGGTCTCAGCATTCCCAGCCCAACCTCACATTCCTCTACTCACTCCACCCCATCCCCAGTGGGTACCGCAGGGCCTTTGCACATGCCGTCCCCTCATCTGGGAACTTGCTTCCCCGATATCTCCCTAGGCTGACTCTTTCTGGTCATTACACCTCAAATGAGGGGACCCTCTGCCCACCCTGAACCCCATGTGGTGCCCCCCAATCAGTCTGTCTCATCACCCATTGTCATTTCACTCTTCTGCCCATAGGAACACGTCTGGCATCTGCTTCCCCCACTAAAGTGTGAGCTCCCCAGGACAGGCACCTCGTCTGCCTTCTGTGGTTTTGTATGCCCGACACACAGTAGGTGCTCAATAAATGCATGTTGAAGAACCAAGGGCAGCAGCAGTGTCATGTGACATGGCAAGACCTGTCGAGGATGAGAGGCCTGGCGGGTGACTCAGTTTCCCCTTCTGTAAAATGGTGCTGGAAGAGCCTACAGTTGAGAGGAAGCTGAAAACTGCCTCCTGGGCC